TGAGTATGTGCATCCTTGGACTCTCTGGTTCATGGACTGTCCTCTCTTCCTTGCAGACATTGACGAGTGCCTCACCAGTGGGATCTGCCCTGAGCATTCCACGTGTGTAAACTCTGTGGGGAGCTACCATTGCAGCTGCCAAGCTGGATTCTTCTCCAATGGCTCCACCTGTGAAGGTACAGAGGGCCTGGTTATATCATTGGTCTATCTGATTCAGTAGGGGTCTCCTTACTGGAAGACCACATGAGAATGGGATCATGACCCATGTGATAGGGAAGAGAGCATTGGGGCTCAGAGAGGTGAAGTGGTTTTCTAAGGGTGCACAGCCTTGTGGTGGATGAGCTGGGTCTGAACTCCTGTTGAGGGCCAACGTGGGTCAAGCCATGGGATAGGTTGTGCTTGACATTAGTGAGGAACTCTTGTCCCTAGAGTGACTTTTTCCCCCAAAGGGGATGCTGGCAAAGTCCAGAGGCACTCTGGATGGTCACAGGGGGAGGTGTGTGTTGCTGGCAGCATCCCACAGGGAGAGGAGCTGCTAGGCATTCCACCATGCACAGAGCAGCCCCCAACCAGGATGCCAGGGCCCCCCACAGGCCCTCCCCAGTGAGTGCCCAGACCCAGAGCTTCCCCCAGGGGCACTTTTGGTCAGCCTTGGGGTCACCCTTGGTCTATCACCGCACCTTGGGGATCTGCCTGTGGAGCCACCATGGGTTCTGCCCCGTCTTGGGCTCTGTTCCTCATGCTGCAGCAGCCTCCCTGTGATTCTCCCCCTTTCTCCACTWCCTCTCAAATCCACCTTCCATGCCAGAATATTCTCACTAAGAGATAATGGCTCGCCTTCCAGTGTCCAGGGTGACGCTGCTGTTCTCCATGGTCCTTGTAGGGATGGAGACTCTGTGGAGCAGGGCCCGGCACCACCTGGCCTGCCTCAGACCCCCTGGCTGAGCTTAAGAGGCATCTGAAGGCACGTCTGCCTCTCCTAGTCCATTTGTAGCAGTTAGTTATAGCTGAGGAACAAATTTCCCTACAAGTGAGTGACCACCAGGGATGACCCTTCGTTTAGTTCTCGATCCTATTATGGGCTGGSCGTTTAGGTTGGGCCATTCTGGTTAGTTTCCAACTCAGCTTGCTCCCCTGTGTGTGCGGCCACCCAGCACGGCTGACATTTGAGGCTGGACATTTTGTTGTTGTGGGGGACTGTCTCGTGCACAGTTGGGTATTTGGCTGCATCTTTGGCCTCTCCTTGCTGGATTCCGTAACACTCTCCCACCCTCATATCACGGCAGCCCAAAATGTCTCCAGACTTTGCCCATGTTCCCGGGGTAGGGGGCRGTTGCCCCCAGTCCAGTACCACGGGCTGAACTTAGTAGAGATTTCTTACCCTCCGACAGCCAATATGGGTACGTCTGGCCAGTGGGTAGCTTTCTGTCACTTGGTGATAAAGGGACTGTCTCCTTCCATCTTTTGGTCTTGGAGACCTTGGGGCCTTGGGGTCCCAGCCCGTGAAGGTCAGAGAGAGCAGAGAGAGCAGAAGCCACACTCACTTCTTAACTGTCTTGACTCAGAAGTGACATGGAAGTCCCCTCTGACATTTCAGGAGTGAGGACTGGTCTCATGGCTTCATTCTGTAGTCCCTGGCTGGGACTACATTCTAGGAGGACTCTGTGCAGCCCTGTTTCTGTCAACAGTGGATTGTACATTTGATGGAGGTCCTGTGAGATCCTAGCAAGGTCACATACACACCATGCACTTCCACCTTGTTCCCTGAGGTGCACAGACTTGGAACATGCCACCATGTTGTGAGGAAGCCCAACAGCCCTCATGTCTACAGTGTTTAGGAATCAGAACAAGAGAGAGCAGGGAAGGGAGGGAGTGCTATGAGATCATAGCAAAGCCCCCACAGTCCTCCTGCTCAGCAGTGTKGTAGTTGTCACAGTTGAACACATTAGTGCGACTTCTGCATGTGTGGTGACGTTGGCGTGACACACCTGTGCATTCCACCACACACAAGCATAGCTCACGTGACTGTACACGGTACGTGATACTCAATGATGATAATAAATGACCTTGTTACTGGTTTGTGTATTTACCATACGGTACTTTTCATCATTATTCTAGAGGTACTACAGCTTATGAAAAGACATTTATGTAAACAGATGCGTGAGCCTTGTCATCTGTGCTTCCTGCRTCTCTTGACTGTGTGGAGAGGCCACACCAAGGGGTCGATGCACTCTGATTTCCACACCAGATGAAACCACCCTCGGTCCACGTGTGGGGACGTGTATTAGATATGGAAAACGACAAACCCCCAAAGTAGTGAGACCCRGGGAAAGGGGAGTGAGAAGGAGAACCGTACAGTGAGAACATTGATCCTTTCCCAACACATTCTTCCCCGGTGATGAAACCAACCCTCAGGAAGAGGTGTCCATCACACCTGGAAGGGCAGCCTCTGGGAAGGGGCCGAAGCTTAATCCTTCCATAAACAAATCCTTCCCAGATACCAACCACTGACCCCAGGCCCTCCATCAGGTCCAGTAAGGTAAATCCCAGAAACTGACCCCTGACCCTAGACTCCCTCCCATTTCTCCCCGTAAAACAGACCCTAAATTCCTAAGCACTAAAACTGACCCTTCACTGGTTGATAGAACAATCTCCAAATTCCTGGGTGCCCGAAGAAAATTGACATGCTCCCTAGACCACCCTCAGGGTAACCTAGACCAGCCCAGGCCCTTTCTTTTCCACCAGGAAAGTGGGTCCCACCATGGTGTCATTTCATCCCTGCCTCCCCTGCTCCTGTGTGAACCTTCGTTCCTGAATAAAGCGCTGAGCTGATTTGTGAAGTGTGCGTTCCTCCAGGTCTTTTTGTGCTAACAACGTGTCCCCGTGGGTAGGTGACCCATGATGCTTTGTTGGACCTTTGCACAACCCTGCTTCACACCCGCTCTCCACCTCACAGACATTGACGAGTGTGTTGACATGTGCCCCTTACGTTCCGACTGCACCAACACTCCCGGGAGCTACTCTTGCACCTGCCACCCTGGCTTTGCACCAAGCCATGGTCAACGGCACTTCAGAGGCCAAGGAGTGGAGTGCAGGGGTGAGCAGGGCTTGCCAGACAGCCCGGGAGGCAGCTCCTCCTTGTTCCTCCGAGTTTCTTGACGGCCCTGAACTCTTGCAGATGTGGATGAATGCTCCCAGGACCCACCACCCTGTGGCCCCAATGCAGTCTGCACCAACACCCCAGGCTCCTACAGCTGCCGCTGCACCGCGGGCTTTCGTCCCCTCCACGAAGGTTCCCAGACTCAGGGCAACTTCACCTGCCAACGTAAGACCCCCTGGTGTGTGACGGCCACAGGGAGGGTCTGTGCTGTTGGGCTTTGGTTGTAACCTCCTCGCTCTGCTCAACCTGGGGACCCTCCTTTCACTTTCCTCTTACTCACACGCTCTTTTCCTTTGTGTCAATTCATTCATTCATTCATTCATTCATTATGTTTGGACCAACTACTGTTTACTAAACTTCCCAGCGCCCTGGGCTCCGGGCTGAGCCTTCCCTCCTGGATACGCTGGGCCTGATCCCTGCTCTTGTGTGGTTTATGGTCCAGGGAAGGAGCCAGAGGTCACAMGGCTAGTGATCGACAGTAACTGTGACGAATGCTACTGAGAAATCACAGTGTGATTGGAGGTGACCGAGGGCATGGTTCATGTGCCCTGAGCCAGGGGACTTTACAGCCACTGGAGGAGGCACAGGGTCCTGCCGAGGAGCAGTGGAGAAGCAGTGTTCTGGGGGACGGCAGGTGCCAGTCTCCTAGGCTCAGGCTGACTGAGAGTGGGCAGAGGTGGGGCATCAGGTGAACCTGACGAGGCAGGCAGAAGCCTGATTGCTAAACAGTGGGGAGATTTTCCACCCCAAGAATAATAGGGAACTAGGGAGGGCTGAACATTTTTAAATGATGGATTTTTTGAGACACTAAAAACACATGTGAGCTGGGCACGTGGCACACGCCTGTCATCCCAGCGGCTCAGGAGGCTGAGGCAGGAGGCTCTGGAGTTCAAAGCCAGCCTCAGCAACCTAGCGAGTCTCTGAGAAACTCAGTGAGACCCTGTCTCTAAATAAAATACAAAATAGGGCTGGGGAGGTGGCTCAGTGGTCGAGGGCCCCTGAGTTCAATCCTTAGTACCAAACAAAAAACAAAAAGCAAAAAACCCCCAAACCAACCAACCAAACAAACACACGTAACTTTTATTGTGTGTGTGGTGCTGGGGACTGACCCTAGTGCTGCGAGCACAAGGCCAGGCCGGGACTCCATCCCTAAGCTACCCCCCAGCCCTGGGCAGATGAACTTAAATGRAGTATAATAACAAGACAACGCACCAGAGGCCCTTCCAGTGTCCGAACGGGACCCTCATGGACTCCACTGTATCCCTGGGAGGCTCCTTCCCCATGCTCCTCTGTCCTCTCCTTGGGCCACCTGGAATTCTGTGTCCATTCCTCCCTCTCTGGGCGTCTGCCTTCCACCGACATCTTGCTCCTTTCTGCCTGGTTTGGAGTTTTATAGAGATGGTGYCGCACTCGGCCATGTCCTCTCTGCCTCTCTTCAAGCTTCTGGAGTCCTCGTGCTGCGGCGTGGCTGCCATCTGCTCGTCCTCTTGCCGTGTGTCTCGGGTGGATTTTAAACTGGGGGGTAGTGAGATGGGACCTGCTTTTATTCACGATCGCAGTTCGACTTGGCTGCTCTTGTCTTTGTCCCAGGGATTCTCTTCAAATGTAAGGAAGACATGATACCCCATAATAAGCAGGCCCAGCTGTGCCGAGCGGGGGCTCCCGTGGAGCTGGAGTATGTAAGTATCGCTGAAGGTCAYAGCTCTTGACGTTCTCCCAGAAGCCTCTTAGGGAGGACGTAGTTTTTATCAGTCTTAACAGAGGCAAAAAGTCAAGTGGCCTAAACCAAGGTGCAGTTCCTGTTTCTCCTCTGTGAAGTCGTGGGTGTCAGCGTTGGAGAGCCGGCACAGCGTCCACCGTGCTCTGTCACGGTCAACACAAGTCTCATTTTGTGGTCCAAGATAGCTGCCCTGGCTCCTGCTATCACATCTGCTTTTTAGATGATAAGGGGAAAAGGGGAAGTGAAACGTGAAGTCCCTCTCTTTAAGAGCATGCCTCATGACTGTAAGGGAAGGGGAAGGAAATTAAGAAAGAAGGGTTAAGAAAGGGTAACGGGGAGGGAGGATACCATCCGAGTCCGAGTAGCTTGTGGATTCAATTAATAATTAATTATTAATTCATTAATGGAATAATTGTGCATGTTAATGGGGTAATTACTGCAGGATATTTCAATACAAGCACAGGGTGTGCACTGATCAAATCAGGATTATTTGCACTTCCTTGTCCTGGTCCTTGGCTGGAGCCTTGTCTATCCCTCAAGCAGCTCAGGATCTGTAGCAGGTTCTTGTGAGCTATGGCCACCCACGCTGCTGGGGAGCCCGGAGCCCGTTCCTCTTCTCTGGGGGTGGACTGTAAGGCTCACAGGAGCTTTTCCTTCTGTGGACACAGCTCCCCTTCTGTGCCCTGATGAACGACACCTTCCACGTGCTGGACAAGACCTGTGAGAACAGATCCGCGGCGTCCCTGCAGGTAACCACGCGTCTTTCTAACGGAGCTTGAGTTCTGAGCATCTGGGGGAGGCTCTGCCTAGAGAAGGCCTCGTTATCATCCCTGGGTTGTGTGTTAACCTCTCGTTAAAGATGAACGTGGGGACATTTGAAAATAAGCGTACAGTCAACTTACCCCTTCATTTTGGGGGGTGTACACTTCTGTGAGTTTAATTACTGACTAGATTTGTGGGCTCCCACTAATCGGGGTGCAGCCCGGCTTCATTTCCTCCAGGCACCGCCCTCAGTCTTCCTCTTCTAGTTAGATGCTTCCTCCCTGGGCAACCCCTGTGGTCCCCATCTCTTCTCTCTCACGGTTGCTTTGTCTTCTTGAGAATGTCAAATAATTCAGATCATACAGTAAGTGAAACTGGGAGACTGYTTTTTTGKTTTTTTTTTTTGTACTGGGATTGAACCCAGGGGCACTCACCCACTGAGCCACACCCCTAGCCCTATTTTGTATTTTATTTAGAGACAGGATCTCACGAGTTGCTTAGTGCCTTGCCTTGCTGTTGCTGAAGCTATTTTTGAACTCACAATCCTCCTGCCTCAGCCTYCTGAGCTGCTGGGATGACAGGCGTGCACCATGCCCGGCTGGAGACTGGCTTTCCCCCCACTAAGTATCATGCACTTAAGATCCGTCCTTGCTCAGAGACCTCCTGAGGTGGCACCTGTGCCTGTCCTGTGTCTGGCTTGTCTCTCTGAGCTCCATGTCCTTAGGTGCACTCTGGTGGTGGGGGTGTCAGCTCTTCCTCCTCCAGGCTGCTGTCTGAGGTTCCTTCTGGTGAGCGTGCCACACTTTGCTCATCCACTCATGTTTGAAAGACATCCGAGCTGTTTCTGGCTTCTGTGGACCGAGGGTGGGGCTGCTGTAGTGGGAGTTGCTAGACGGCTACAGCCKTGGGGAGCCAAGTCTGGTTTTTCTTCACCTCCAAGCTGGACTTAAGGGTGTTATTATTTTATTTGTAAATCTGGTTATTTTTTTGCAGAAAAATAAGAATAACATTTTTATTTGTAACTGGATCCATTGAAAATTAATTCAGCATATTTATTCATTAAGTGTACCTCCATTCACAGGGTTTTCAGACTAAATGTGTACAGATGATTAACATTGTTCACTRACTTGGATAGATCGCCTCGAGCATTTTATCCTACATTTACATATAGTTTTATTTCCCCCCAATTTCAAGTATCAGGAGGGAGATTTAGAAATCTGATGGGCAAGGTCACTAGGGCCCTTTGGTGACTCAAGAAGTCAATCAATGGAACCTACAGTAATGCAGATTCTCCCAAGCAGCCTATCCTCGGAAGCTGCTCATGTTAAAACCCCAAGTTACAGGCTGGGCCTGGGGCTCAGTGGTAGAGCGCTGGCCTAGCAAGGGTGAGGCCCTGGGTTCGATCCTCAGCACCACATAAAAATAAACAGATATAAAATCATTGTAGATTTTATAATAAAGATATATTTCCATCTACAACTAAGTAAATAAATAAAAGTCAAAAACAACCCTCATTTACATTTTGCCGTGAAATCACATGGCTAATTGGTTAGCTTCTCTAACGTGACAACTTGTTGCAAACCCTTGATATAACTACAGTCAGATTTTGCTAAAGAATTCAAAACCTGAGTTTAACACAGAAGAATTTCCCCTGAGGATCTGTAGTTTGCCTAAGTGTGTTTTCTTTCCACAATGTATGAAATAACTCTTTTGGCTAAGAGCAGGGCTTGTGGGCTCTCCTCAGCCATGGAACTGGGGAGCTGGTGCTCTCCAGTGCCTGGGGTGCAGGTTGTGCTGCGGTGTGGTGGGTGTGGGGCCTGGCAGGGTGGGGCGGGGCAGGAAGGAGGGCAAGTGGCAGGGCTTGAGGCTCCTGCTTCTCAAGTCCCACCCGTACCCTTTGGAGCTGGAAACCTTTTTTTTTTTTTTTGTAATTTTTTAGCATATAATTTGGATAGACAGAAATTTGTGCCCAGAGTCAGATTTCTGTTGAATTTCCTTCACCATCTTACTGAATTCGATTCATTTTCCCCCCTGCATTTATTACTTTTCATACTTTTTTTGGGTTGGGTCACTTAAAACACATCACTTATAAAACATTGTAATTTTATACTCCAATTTTATAGATATTATAATTATGTACTTAAAGTAATACTGGGATCATGATAAGTGAGAGTTTTTTATTTGCATGGGCCAGAAGCATAAATACCACGCATACCAAGTTTTCCATGGAAGTAGCTGTTTCTGGAGCCCCCAGGCAGCCTACACGTGCTGGTCTGCGGCTTCCTTGGTGATAGTCAGGGACCTGGGGGCCTCTGCGGGCAGGTCCCTGGCACGGTCCCTGTTGGCAGCGGCCTGCTGTCCCTGGACTGGACCTCGTCTTCACTTACTCAACAGTATGTCGGGCATTTAAGATTTCTAGAAATCGTTTTGAAATTAACGTCTTTCGAGGAGACCCGGCCCAGTTTTCAGGTTCTTCTGCAGGGATCCGCTCCTGGAARGGAAGGTGCCTGTCACCGAGCCGCGCGGCAGGCGCTGTCCCGGGTGCTGACTCGCCTCGCCCTTGAGGACGACGCTGGGTCAGGGCCGGGCGGGGCTCTTTGACTCTCCCTGGCTCTGCGCTGGTCTCCTGGTGACAGAGTGCTGCTGGTGTTTAAAAAGGAAGCGCACGTCCCCGGCGGAGCGAGCCGGCAGCCCCAGAGACAGAGATTTGTGGAACGGCGAGAGTGGGCGGGGCCCGAGCTGGGGTGAGGCCGGAGCAGCTCCGCTGCGGGAGGTGGCCAGGTCAGCCGCACCCCGCCCCCGAGTGGCCCGCAGCAGGCCCGGCCGAGGGCGAGGAGGCGCCAGCCCTCAGGGCCTTCCCACCGCCAGGTGCCCTGTTCCCACCTGGAGCACTAGGCGGGGCCCTGCCGCGCTCTCCCTCTCCTCCTGCGGGTGTCCTCCTCTGCCCCTGCGGCGGCTGCGTCCTGGAAACATCTAGTTGGTCTACACAGGAGCGGAAACGCCCGGGCCTGGACAYGGTATATGACTGCAGCCCCGAGTTGCGTTTCCAAAGGGTGCCCCGCGTAATGCCTAACTCAGGTGAAGCTGTGTGTCTCTTCCAACATTTGTCCTTTCTTGATGGTGAAAGCTTCAAACCCTTTCTTCCAGTCTTTTGAAATGAACAACGTATTACCGTCACCTCTAGTCACCCCAGTGTGCAGTGGCACCCCAGAACTCCTTGCTCCTATTAACTGTAACTTAGTCCCCACCACCAGCATTTCCCCACCCTTCCTCTGACTCTGCCCTCCCCGTTTCTAGAAACTACCATTCCACCCAAGAAAGCAGTTATTAATGAGAAATGAGAGGAGAGGAGAAGAGAAGGGAAGAAAG